ATCAAACTGCACAGAGTCATCTTCAGTCTGTTGCACCTCACTGGGATAAATTAAAAAGTGTTCATTTTTCATATAGCGAATAAACGCACAGTTCTACAAACCCCTAATCCTAGGCAACATAGTACAGCAAATTCAAAGTTGGTGAATGATCACATAAGGAAAAAAAGTCAACGTTGCCCACTTTGAACACAAGTAAATGTCAGGAGTTTTAACTTTTTTACACTTTGAGTATCTCAGTAAAGGTAATCGGACAAAAATTGATTATTTCATTTAAATTAATACCCTGTAGATTCCTCTGAATTTTGAAACATAAACAATTATTCCGCAAGTGCACATTGTCAGATATCAGATGATAGATGGCCGAGTTGGCTATAATTATCTCATATCCAACAAGCGCTGGTGGAGAATGCCCAAAAATATAAATAAATCTTCTCAAATTTATTTCGTAACAACAAAGGGAATGTTTCAATATACAAAAACACTTCCAGTTTAGCTCCTCTTCATGTGCGCACATGGCTCGTAACCCATCAAGGGTGAGCTAATGAAAATTCTTGAATTGCATTACCCAATGATCCAGTTTTAAATATTTTGCATTATTTTACCACAATAGTTTCTTTCACCACGTAATCTTACATAATCTCTTTTTTCGTTGTAAAACAGAGTCTGAATACATTTGTAAAACAAAGAGAAAAGCCACATATTTTTTGTTTAATTGACAGAAACATCAACATCACAGAGAAACCAAGTTTATTTTTTAAAGCAAAAGTGTTTTATTCACAGTTGGTAAGACAGAGTAGAGTTCATAGAGCTCTATCAATTGAATTGCATTTATTAGCAAAAGAAAACCTTAACTGTTTTATGTCAGTGGCAAAAGCTAGCACACTGGAGCATTTGATCCAGTATTCATCTTTCGAAAGAATGCTGCATCACAGACGAAAAAGGGTCATCGTTTACTAAGATCACCAGAAGAAATAGCGTTAGAAATGCTACAGCAAAATTGCGAGACCTAGCAACATGTACATTAACAGATATCATTCAACTGCCTCATTATTTACACCAAAACAAGCCGTGTCATGACCAACCTCACGAAACTGAATCAACCAGGAAATAACTTGCTGGTGTGCACGGTATATGAATGAGAATTCTTCATGTGCATATATCTCAAGTAAAGATTGACCTTTGTAGCGTAGCGGCATACTTCGTTGCCAAACAAAGTTACGTCACTTATATATATATAGTTTCGGTTGCCTCAAATTCAATTTCCACATCAGAAGCATAAGGCAATCCTTCGTAATTGGCTCTAAAATCATCATATCTTAGCTGATTCAAGGAAGAACTAAAAGTTATCGGCGATGTATTCGAACGAATGAGCATCTGATGAGTCATCTCCCGTATCATACAAAACATCGTAATAGAATCCCTTAAAGTTTGCCGGCGAATGAGGTATAAGTTATACAATCACTCACGACTTGAGGAATTCAAATTAACTCCCAAATCGATTTTTCCCTAAAAAAGTTTGGAAAATCCAAGTCATCAAAGTTGCCTGTCACTTAGAAGTCAAGTGCAAGCCTTCGAATATCAAAAATGAAAGTCTATATTCCGCATCAAAACTGTTCCGTCCAATATTTGATTAAACCTCTCCTAAAATACCGTCCAATCAGATCCCCCTCAAGATTTCCCAGTTTTTATTGATACTCAGACTATCTCACATCTCTTTTTAACCTCTTGCTCTGCAAAAATTACGAAAATACGACAGTAGACGAAGCACAGTTAGAATGAAAAACACCATAGCTTTTACAGCGTGCTCATCATCCCATCTTCTCCCCCCAAAATAACAATTATCGGCAACTATATTTTTCATAAACACAACCATTTGTCATCTGCCATCTACCTTTTCAATTTCACACCCTATGCAAACCTCGTTCGCCTCGGAAAAAAACTCACCAAATAAAGTAATTAAAGGACCGATGCGTGTTGCTAGAAAAGGCTCGAATATTACAATATGTGGTTATTGAAAATTTTTTTAATATTGTTTCCATTTTGAGCAACAACTGATGCCTTATTGATGACATAAGTCGGTAAATATTTGTTCGACAACATGTTTGAAATAAAAGAGGACCTCTTTACATAGAATTACCAATTTTTTTTTATCCTTAAACGGTGCTAAGAGTTGCAAGCATCGCTATTTTCCGAAATGAAAGAGACAGAATTTACCAGCAAATTCCTAATCAGAAACATAACAAAATTTGATTATTTATGAAACACTCACCTATATACATAATTCCATTTCAGATTCAAATTCAAATTTATTCCGAAAAAAACCAATCAATATTAGAACACCATAAATTATTTATCAGATACCGTGGAGTTGTTTAATGTTGTAGCATATTACTACTAAACTTTCAAATGAAAGCGAGAAAAATCAAACATTCAAGGGAAGTTCCAAATTTCAAAAACAAACTCCTTTATTCAGACGAGTGAAATAAGTTATGTATTTTCAACATATGCATATCAGTGCCATTAGAAATATTGGTCAAATCTTCCAAGTCCTTAGAAAATTACTATTTGTTAAAATTTGGGCATGGATACGGTTAGAAAGGGTCTAAATATATTTTCCAGCGTCTTCGGTCTGTTGCCACTCAATAGTTGAAGAATAAGTAGATGTGAGAGTGTGTCAATATTTACTTTTAATTAAGTGCACACGTCAGGCGATAACTTAAAAAACGCATCTGTCCCATGAATTTCATAACAGCTGCCTCTCTTGATAACTATCAATATCTAAATAATTAAAAAAAAGATTTGACGAAATATTTCCTTAGATAGGTTACTAAAGCCATTCTTGTTTTCAGCTTTTTTCCTCAACGGTCGAAAAACGAATAAAAAAAGGCCTGCTTCCAATTCAAGAGGTGTTGTCAAGTTGTACAAAGCATGGAGAGTCCCTAAAATTACAAAATATAAAGAGAACAGTGTCTCCCGTCTTTATTTTGGACGCGTTTGTATTCTTCGCAAATAAAAAATTATTTTGGAAGCGCCTAAAAATCATGCGTGCTGACTTTTTTGGGTTGAAAAACTGATTTTCTCTCTAAATTATTCATTTAAGACGTGTGTTTGGCTTCCTTTAATGCAAAAAAACCAAAAACGTTAGGATCACATAAATAGTGGATGATGGGGTGCAAATGCAAATTTGGACAAATTAAATTGAAAACAAGCATAAAAATTGCTTCTTAAACTTTGGACAGATATACCAGCTTTCTCGATGTTTTCATTTTCTTTGCAGAGCAATTTTCGAAGTCGCGACGCCAAAATTCCTTCTGCGGATATCTAAAAACAATTAAAGCCATTTGATCTTTGTTAAGTGGGGAGCTAAAAAGAAAAAACTAAAAAGAAAATCGAACCCAAGCTACAGCGGTGGGGGACGAGTGCTCTCAACGCTTGTGCCAAAAAACGTACTTGTTCTTTCTATTCAATTGCTCTACAATTTTATACCATCTCACTTATTAGGATAACCAACAAGATACGGATGCAGAGCCAGAGAATTATACATAGCTAATAAGATAAAGTGGGAATGACTGACAAAGAAAGGGAATTGGTGAATGGTTTCGGTAAAATAGGAAGCGAGTCCGGGAGGCAAGGGGGGGGGGGCTGCTTAGGTCAATTTGTGTTTTATAGTCTATTCTTAGGCAAATTATGGACCTCGTCTTGATCAACTTTGGGTGAATTCAATTTTCGCGATCGCAACTTTGTCAAGAACAGAATATAATGCAAGCGGATTGTTAGACATTAAAACCACAGCTCGAAATACGGTGACATTTTTTACCGCAAATCTTGTCATTATTCAATCCCTACTTACAAGATTTTTCTTACCCCCAAAGAGCGAACCCTCTCTAGTAACTCTGCAAAAAATGCACGCCCATTATAGTGAATACAGTTATGAAAATGCGACACCATCCAGCGTCACAGCCCCATAAGCCTATTACTAGGAAGTACCCCAAATCCCCCCTCTCCCGCCCCCACGCGAGTTTTGGGGAGTGATTTTGACTAATTACCACTGTCCGGCTAGTACAACCTACTCAGTTAGATTATTCATTCAAATCACGGTCTTTGTAACATAATGCCATAAATAATTCGATTTGTAGTCAATCTTTGTAATAGTTGCACCATTTAACACATAATTATTATTTTCTATCTTGTGGCTTGATGTAAGATTTTTGCGTGGTTCTAACCAAATTTGTCCATTCCGCTCAATTATGTACAGTTCAGTGGTAACTCTTGTTAATCTGCTGCTTTGGCATCCATCTCAAAACTATTTAATTCTAGATCCATCATTTTTTAAGCCATTGATTACAAAGTAACATCACAATTATCTAATTTCTTTAATCAGTTTATCACCGACTTTCAAATTTGTTAATTCTTGAAGCTTGAAAGATAGTTAAATCTAAGAGTTTTGTACGAGTATTTAAAGGAGACAAAATACGCAAGAATAAATATAGGATACTCCTGCGTAAGATTAAATCTAAGCCATAAGAAATTCAATTTTCATAATCTGAATACCACATCGTCTTGAACAATTCTGAGCTTAAACCAGTGTCGGTATCACAGCAAAAATCTGAAGCTCGCTATGTTTGGCGATCTGATTTCAAACTGTAAGCCCATGTCTTTGTTTATTGCATCAGTACATACACCCAAATTAACCTGAAGCAAATTATCTTAAACTTAATAAAAAAATAAGTCGGCCGACATATTGCGGTTAAGTTGTTATAAACGAAACTCACGGACGCAGATCTCACTCCGTCGCGGCAGCTGATTTCGGAAACCTTTGAAATGGAGAGCTGCTTTTCACACGTAGGTCTCTAGGCTCAAAATTCATAAAAAAATAATTACATGTCAGTTCTTAGTTACACGCCGCTCCATACCACCAATTATAATTTCAGGCGGCGATAATCGCTAAAATCCTCCAATCTAACACTGAATTACGTGTTAATTTATCTCAATACATTCATCACGTCAGATATACCAGACTTGCTTCCCACAATGACAGAAGGTATTAGTTAGGCTGGCGAGTTTATTTAGTTTTGCTGGTTTAAAAGTCTCCTTTCAAACAACAGACTCAAGTTGAACGTGAGTATTGAAATACATAATCAGCATTTTTTTCTTATGAAGTTCGTTATTCGATAATTTTCATATGTAGAGCTAAAATAATATTCGTCGAGTGACTACTGAAAAACATTTTAAGAAACACGATAGTTTATTATATTTATTTTTTTGAGTTTATTTTTTATTTAAGGCTGATTTCTTAAAGAAATTTAATGTGAGTTCTATGAATTCTTTCTCGGGTCTAATGTCCTCAAACTTGACATAAGTCGCACAAAAAAAATATTTCTGGCAAAACATGGAGTCATCTTGCCAACAATAGGTTAACACTTTCAAGCTTGTCTCTTAAGTCGTTTTTCAGTCTTGGACCTCAAACACAAGATACTGTCTGATAATAACATCGCTTTTTTCGAGTTAGCTGTTTCTTTCTCTTTGTTTCTCGACAAAGTTGATCCATGGACATTTCTGGTCAACGTAAAGTGCTGACTTAAACTGAAAACAAAAGATGGAATAGAAGCGGGTGTCTTCTATCAAATACTGTACTTTTATGAATTATTCAAGTTTACGTTTTTCATAAGTAAAGTCGCGCTCTAATTTCGCTTGCCTCTGAATTAAATCTACCTAAAAAGAAAATAATGCTCTTGTTAAACCATGAAGTCAAAATTAGTCCAGAAAAAGGAAGCAGGCCGATTATAATCTTTGACGAAGTTTATTCCCTTGAAACATTATTTTTTGTTGTGACGTTTTGCAATATTTTGTTACATTGTTGTCTGAACACAATGTCAGATCGTGTTTAATCATAGTGGCATAATTAGTGTTCGGGATCTTCAAAGTTAATATGCAGGTAGAGCTACTTGTCATTACCTGGCTTCGTAATGGGACTTTCTCATTTTATTTCCCTTCATTTTCATTGGTTATCAGGGTGTAAAGTCATCACGATATCGCGAGTCTGTCTGTCTTTCGTAACATTACCATGGCAACAGAAACGAAAATGCATTACAAAAACAAGCAATCTTTGCCGTAAGAAATTATACCATAAAAATGCTACGTAACGATAAGGATAAATGTCCTTTATTTTTCAAATAAAACAGATAGAACACAGTCGGCATGTCGCCTTTTACGAGAAAGAAGAACACCGTATGCGAGTTTTTTATCAAATACATCACATTAAGTCTTTTACAACTGATTCATTCAAAATGTCGGCAGGTGTCTCAAATGAAGTTAATTGTACTCCGTAAATATTTTCGGGCTGCAAAATTTCATAACTTGATTTAAGTTAGCCTCTAACTAATTTCATCGTATGAACATTTTAATTTTTTTTTTTAACTTCATTCTCCTTATGAAAAATATAACTCTTCCTTCAAAATCTGAAAAACGAAGGCTAAAAAATCAAAACAACAACCACAATTTTAACCACAGGAACTTTATGTCAGCAAAAAAAACAAAACAAAACAAATTAAATGTAAATAGAGACATTCTTTATCAGATGGTATTAAAAACACTTTCTTTTAGCAAAGCGCTTCTTCAGGTAAGAAACTGAAATTCTAAATTTAAAACAAAAATTACAGACGTTCCTATGTTTTTGACATTTTTACTGAGACTGTCTTCATTTCGTTTGTAATCGTTGTTTTAAGCAGTTTTTTTGCATTGCTTACCATGAGGGAAATTCAGAGGACGAGTTTACTGTTATTCCATCAGCTATTTTGCAGTTATACTATGTTATCTAAGAAAGATTCGTCGCACCTTGAAAATGATTGAGAACTTTGGTGCTATGTAAGGATTTTAAGAATTGACTTGATAGCATTTTGATAAAAGAGAAACGGCTTAACTTTTGACACACTGATTCAAGATATAATTTTTGTCGAGATAAATTACATTCAACTATCTTCGGTAAGTATTCCCAAGAGCAATCTTCTTCTAGTGTCGGTAATCCTTTTAAAATAATTTTAAATTTACTATATTGCCGCCTTGACGGAGGAGCAAAATCATATTTCGGTTGTTGGAAGTTGATCGGTGTTTCAAAAGCTAGGTGTTAACCAGGTTAAATTCTCGTTCTGTATATAGTTGGGATATTTTCACGCAAACTCTTCACTTCATGACTGCGATATTTTATGTCTTTGGCAAATTATCGGCAGACTGAGAAATTGTGTTTAAACGGAGGCTTCTAATACAAATTTTTGTTGTTTTCATTGTGCATCAATCAAACGCCCAAAAAAGTATTCCCAAAGAGATTATTTCCTTTCATGATTTTAATCTTTTGTTGGTGGTAAAAACAAACAGATTTCCATTCAATGAATTACAGCATCAAACGAAACACAACAGCGCATACTGATGGTCGTAATTTGACAGAGAGCGAGCAAAAATGAAGCATTATTTTAAAAGTTTTTCATATAGGTAAGAAATTGGCTCTCATTCTGTGAGTAAATATGTTGTACAAAGATTCTGTACGTAAGAAAACTTTGAGTTGTGCTGAGACATTGGTGCTTACATTGAGGCAAACAGAATTGGCATTTGTTGTTGTTTTCGGGCAAGGGCTGCGGAGCAAATATAACTGTAAATCAGAGAATGCGCGCAGAGGTTGTGACATCTGATTTTGAACGCTGTGAGCATACTTTTTGCCAAAAGTTTCACTAATCATTACACATCGGTATAACCTAAAAATCAACATGACGTGTCGTGCTGTGCGATCGTCGCTGCGAGCAATAACGCTTGACATGATAGTTACTTTCCGTACAAATACGATATCTATTCCATCAATTTGACTCATGATTATGATTTCTAAGCATTTGGTGAACGGACATTACATTTCTCTCAAATCATGGTAAAATCGTGATGTACTTTATATAGATCAAACTCAAAATGAAGTTACTTTTGCGTGTAGACAATGATATGAATTTATTTCATTTCGTGTATTCAAATCGAGTTCATTGCTACTCTGCATCGAAACAGAAGCTGGGTTCATTCTTTCAACAGTTGGAAAAAATAAAAAATCGATACAAATTACATCATTGTCTTCCGCTTGATCCGCCAGCTCTCTCAATTCCGACTCTACTGGGCATAAAAAATATTGTACCAAAGGACAAACGAGAAAGTGCGATCAAATTAGTAAAATTGGGCTTGATTTGAAACAAAAAAAAACATCAGAACAAAAAAATACAAAAAATCTTTATCGAGTGAACATTTTTCATAGCAAGAGCATCTATTAAGAATTCTTTAATCTTTCTTTGTCTATATTCGCAGGGATCAAGTGAAAGAAACTCAGAGAATCAACTAAATTTCTTCAAAATCTGAACATGCCTGTGACAACGAGGAATTCTTCATTTCACAACTTTTCATCCAAGGATGGATTCCAAGATTTTACCCTCGACACAAATATGAAAGTGATATTCTTCTTCCTGGGTTTCGTTGCCTTTCTAATCATCATTGCCAATGGTCTTGTCTTTGTGTTGGCTTGGAATATGAAGTATCTCCGCACCAGAACAAACTTCTTTCTTTTCAGCTTAGCAGCAAGTGATTTGCTCTCAGGTGCAGTGGTTGTTCCACTCGTTCTATCGTGTAACATTGTAACGGTCAATCAGTCGCTTTGTATCGCTATGGATATCTGTCAGCGGGGTTTAGCCATCTCGACGATACTGCATCTTTCGTCCGCAGTCATCGAACGATATTTGAAGATATCTTCGCCTTTTAGGTACACGTCTATTGTCACCAAGCCTCGAATTTCTTGTGTGTTAATTTCCATCTGGATATTAGCCATGTCTGTGTCTCTTTCTCAGTTGTTTATTATCTCTTCGCAAGACGTTACTAAAGATTACCTCGTCTACAACACAACAGTTCTTTCACTGTTTGTGTTTGTGCCATTCTTCATCACAGTTTTGGCTTTCATTCGCATTTACTTCATCATGAAACAGAGTGAAAAATCAAGGATGAGGCTGACCATTACTGTAAGAGAAAATACAACAAACTCGACGCAACGAAAGAAAAGAGTGAACACCAAAAGATCATTGATAGTGTACCTTGCTATGTTGTTGTGTTTTGTCTTCGCTTGGTTTCCTTATTTTTTTCTGACGCTTCTGATAGACTTGGATAATTCAGTAGAGATGAATATCCCTCATTGGATGAACGCATTGTTTTTATTTCTAAAGGTCAGCTCTGCTCTATTCAATCCACTTTTATTTACTTTTTTTAAAGCAGATTTTCAAAAAGCGCTCAATCAAATGACCTCCGGAAAGCTTTGCAAACAAGTTGCTAATACACAGGATGAAAGTGCGCGAAAAAGATTTGGAACTATTTCCATGCAGACCAATCAAACCCATCTTCAGCACAAGACATTTGAGATAGAAGAACCGAAATCTTTAATTATCAATCACCTGACAAGATAACTGAATGCTGGGACGCTGTCCTCCTTCCTTCGTCCTTGGTGCTCTCTCCTTGCTAGAGCGTAGTGCGTAGGGAATGTTTAGAAATGTCTTATTTTCAGCCAATGAATCGTAACGAAATAATTAACAATTGGTTCATTTGTCAGCGTGCGTTCATCGAGATATGAAGCACGCGGGAAGTTTGGAGAGCACGAAAGATGCGTAAGAGTTGCTCGAGGCGTAGCCGAGAGTAACTCTAGCTTCTTGAGCGCTCTCCAAACTTCCCAAGTGCTTCATATCTCGATGAACGCACAGCTGACATATGAACCAATTGTTTTATAACATTTTCAACCCGAAGGAAAACTTTTTCTTGAGGGATTTGTTTGCTGACGTCATGAGCGTGCACAATAAGAATATGAAGCACGCTCGCGCAATTGAATTTGATTAGACAAATTTACTAGCTATGTTATAGATTAAATTGGGGATTTAGTTGAGTTGGGCCAGGGTACTTCCCTTACCCACAAGACACAAATGTTTAAGCATCTTTAGACTCGTATAAGTTTTGCAAGTCTCTTAGACTACCAGCAACAATTATGGACCTTCACAGATTCGGTAGACTGTATTAAGTAATTTTTCTGCAATGGGACACTAATACACTGCCATGTGATTATGCTTGTCTAATGGTGCATGCAGTTAGCTTAGCTTTGCTTCTTTCTTGTTTTAAGTTTTTGACTTAACTATGTAAAAGATATGTTTTCTTTGATTTGGCTGCCTGGAATTTTTAACCTTCAGGTTACTTCAAGTAGCTATTCTTATCATTATTGTTTTTTCTCTTCATGTAATATCATAAAATCTTTCACATTCAAGCTTTGGTTTGAAATAAAAGTTATTTAATATTACATGTCATCTGATGCTCAACATTTTATCTACCCCTCGATGGTAAGTTAAGCCATGTCCCTCTCTCGTGACAAGAAAAACAACTTCATTATTTCAAGATCAACCTCAATATTTATTATCTTTGTGATATACTGCATTGCAAGGATGGTAAATATTGTGGTTGGTCTGTGTTGGGGTCTCTGTGGCTCAGTAGGGGTAAAGCAACCCTTATAGGAAGAGCAAAGTCTGGGGTTGGATTCCTATAGGGACACTCATATGATATCCTTGTCCTGCGCTGGTGATAAAAAGAGTGGTATCTCGTGAATTCTTTGAATATTTCTAAAGATTCATTGGTTCAAGCAGGAGTAATGAGCAACTCTTCACGGCGGTCAAATTACAATATCATCTCAGTTGATAACACCAAATTGTCTTGTCATACTCCCCACCCCACCCTCGCCCCCAACGCAAAACCACAGATTCACTAGTTTCTTTAGAAACTTACCACCTTTATTGACTTTCTATGTTAGTTGTTTGTCAGAACATCGTCAGTTTGTAACTACATTCTGAAGCAATGAAGCACTTTGTTAGAGCCTGTAAAAAGATTTGGCCTACTCTTTTCATCCCGTTATAAATCGTAACATCCCACCAGTTGCTGTACAAGTTGTAGTCGAATGGTACGCTGAACATGACTGCTACGGTCTTGTCAGTGTAGTAGGTAAACACACCCACACTTCCCGTAGCTACAGGTTTTTTAGTCTTCCTGGGAGTATTGGTTAATTAGGGCTGAAGATATTTACATCTCCACATTTCCTTTCAGAGAAAAATTATGTAATATTAAAAATATTGATAATATAATATTATGTTAACTGGAAAGAAAAAGCTGTGAGCTTATCGCGGTCCAGCCCTTACTCAATGTTTTATATTCAACTCTAAATCCCTTTTAGGTTTCACAGTTGAAATCATAAAACAGAATCAGAACGGAGCAAAACGAAACTGTATGTTCAAATCAAAGAGAATTTTAAGAGTAACTTTGCAAATGAGGTTTCAGTACGCCTTGGATTAATTGTTCCATTCCATCCGGAGATATTAAAGGGTCAAAACATTGTAATTATTCGAGAACACTACCTTAACCATTAATTAACACCACAAAGGATTTTCTCAATAAGTTGTGAGATGGTACAAAACATTTTTCATTTCATCAGAGCTAATAACTCAAATAAAAGAACCATAACCGAATAACGTGACTCGAATTCTAGAGGCCTGGTTTTTTTCACTCTTTTTTCCGCTAAAAACTGAGAAACGTTACGTAATTTTGAAAGAATGTCTAAACCCAAGAAATTTTTTGAGATAAAAGTCTCATCTGACACTTGCACAGTACAAGGCGCAGTCAACTAAAGTCATTATGTCTGAATTAAAATGATAAGCCATTCAGCAATGTCAAATCAAATCATATGTTCAAAATTGAATCAAAAAGTTATCTTTATCTTTGAACCTCTATGACTGACTTTCATCGTTTTTAAAGGCGCCTACGTCACGATACAGGCATGCGCAGTAAGAACAGAGAAAAGAGTGCTCTCAACAGGCCTATTGTAGCCTTTGCTGTCGAGTTTTGTATCATTCGTTCAAGCTCGCGATCATTTATCCGACCGGCCATGTTCCATTCGGAATTAGAGTAGAAAGTGGGCTTAGGGGGTGGGGAAGGGGCGTAATCTTCACTTCCCCACCCCTACCCCTCTCCTTATCTTTGATCAACGACCGCCCCCTTAGTACAAATTTCTCTCTCTCCCTAGCCTACCGCTGCCATCAAAAGTTACAGATGGCGGCCATAATTTTCGTTAAGAAAATACTGCGCACAAGCACGCCAAAATTATATCTGATAGTTGATACCTGTGATAACCTACGAGTAACCGCACTCTCCCCTCCGTTTCACATTTCGGGGTGGAGGGGTATATGGCCGGCTACACGCCCAAACACCATGATAACTTGTCTTTGTTTCAAGTAGTGGCGTTAACGTGCGATACGACACGTTTGCGAGTGAAGCTCGTTAGATGTGGCACTTAATCTTTCACTGCGCTCCTTTTTACTCGCTTGCGCAGCGCTCCTTCTTATTGCCAATTGTTTGATAGAGGTAAAAGAAAAAAATTGGTTCAGGGCTACCAACCGACATTTATCCCGGAAGATTCCATGTCATTTCACTCCTCGATAATTCTTTAGCGTGCCACTGAACTGTGCATGAACCTCACACTTACAATATATGATTAATTATTTTCCTGTTTGTGGCCACATATTGTTTTCATTCGCGAGACAAACATATAAAGGTTAAGACAGAAAGGAAAAAAAATCGTTTCTCCTATGCGTATCTGATCAACCATTTACTTTGTTCGCTACGCATAGTATTGCGCAAATGTCGGATTAGACTTTTATTTTATGACAAGTCTCTTATTTGAGATTCTGCCATGAGACCACCACCTTGGCGGGTAACGATATTGAAAAGGAAAAGACTCTACCCATTCGCTCTGACAAATAGCTAACGCTCGAAACGTCAGCTTTATTAAATCTTTACGGAGGCCAGTTCATGCACATTGTCAACTCATTTGAAAACACCAAGTTATCACGTATTTATTAACATGCAACCTTAACGTCTAGAATGAAGCAGAGCAAAAAAAAACAATTGGAAATTTGTCTGACGTAATTCTACTGAGTGAACAGATCTGCAACTTGAAAAGGCAGAATCAACACCCAGTGATACTTTTAATTGTTTACAACATTTACTCTGGTTGTTTCATAGGAATTCAGTGGGTATTTGAAGGTCTTTAAAAACTAACAAATGAACACCGCCAATTGCGGGACACCAGATCCCTTGAAAATGGTAACTTTGCCAAATAATTACGTACGACTGCTGAGGGTCTCAGCTCTAGTCAGTTGTAAAGGAATATATTTGGAATGTCGTTTCTTCCTCTCAGTAACGTCCATTATCTTATTTCTTTATCTTCTGTTAATATGAAGAGGAATTGGATGTTTTTAAAAACCAAACAAGGAAGTATTAAGTAGTTTGTTCCGTAAACGTATATGTAAATGCATATGTATGGATAAACGACATGTTATGATGAGCACAGTCGCTCTGGGAAGTGCAAACGCTCGAAACTTCAGCTTTAGAAACTTTTAACGATGGCCGATTTACATTATCAACTCAGTTGATAAAACAAATCATCTTGTTACACTCCCCTAAACCATGCAGCAGGACAGTTGATTTAGAAACTAAACCCCTCTTGTCATTTGTTATGATGAGTAAACAATAATCTCCAAATCACTTTAATTTCGTTTACTATAACACGTTTTGTTTAAGTCTTCTTACACTCCTTTACATCATTTGCATTAGACATCTCCATGACTTATTTCAAACACCAGAGCAAATTTAGGATGACTTCAGCTGGCGTCTAACGCTACAAATTGTTATGTATAGCATTGTTCTTAATTACTGGACAAGGTTTATCTGAGGAGAAGAGAGAATTAAGAAAGGAATGAAAAACAGGAAGACAGAGTTAAAGTAGAAAAGAAAACTTCCTGTCTCTATTGTGAACATCCGATTTGACGGTTGACATAAAATTGTTGAGGACAGAAACAACTCGCTAATTACTTCATTAACTACCTCAGACTTGAAAAGCTGTGGTTCTCAAAGTTAGGCAATCAAATTGAAGTTTACCACAAGATTCAAGTGCTTGAGTTAATGATAGCACTTTTTTGTTACAGTTTACTGCACGAATTCAATGGGAAGTCAAAGATCACGTAGACTTAATAAAAACAATAGTTTGTGCTCGAAAGTGCTTTGACAGGATAAATGTACCCGACACCTCTGTATGACGTCTAAGAGTTCCGTTTTATTGAATGATGTTCCTTCTTCCGCAAGGATTAAGCGGAATTTTTACTTTAAAAAGGGGCCAAAGAATGGAATCACGTGATCGAGCATGAACATGATATAAGTGAACTAATTCGTAGTGCTTGTCAATTGTAATCTCTCACAGCTTTGAGTTGGAAAGTTGCTACGCTATCATTCGAGGTGAGTATTCACGAATCTCAAGAAAAGAGCACGTTTTTCTTTCGATGGTTTGGAGACAAAATCGGTTCTCAAAAAGATGCGAAATAGCGACGCGTCTCCTCTCACTTTATAGCGTCACTTATCTGTTTCCTCAATGTCAAACAAAGCCATTCTAATTTTGCTCTTTTCTATTATAGAGTCCACCACAGCCAACGCGAGATGAAAATGAAGACGCGCGCAGTTTTTTTCGATTTTCCTGGTCGTGTTTTTCATGGGTTGCTGTGTATCAGGTATTTACAAGAGGCTTTCTAAGATCGTTTGAAATTTCAAATCGCAAACATGTGAGAAATTGAAATCAGAAAACACATTTGCGAGTCATGATTTAAGACTTGTGTACCTCAACTGTCAGCTTTCTGCTTCTCTGTGGTTCTGAAGCAAGAGCTTTAAACGAGAAGTGATTATTACTGTGATAATCAGAAACATTCCCTCCACTCTCCTGGAGCCATATGGGAGAGAAAAACGGATAAACAAACCAGAGAACAAAGCGTGCAGAACCTTTATATAAACACAAGTAATTAACGCTACACCTGACATTTTGTGTTCTGCTTCTCGTGTCAGACGTCGTTTAATATCGATACTTGTGACACCTTAAGCCCAAGAAGTAAATACTTCAATACTATCATTACTTTTCATTCATTCTTAATTCAAATAGTGACCAATTTCAATGTTATCGGTCGGCTCAGCGCACAATAGAAATATAAAATAAAAATCACTTTTTTTCAGGTGCCCACATTGAATTCGAAGGAGATTTCGAAGAATTTGGAAACATTGAACAAGAAATGGGTAAGGTCATTTATTCATGCCTAATTCGCGCCTATGTGCAGTTTCCTTTGCGGATAAAACTACTATCTTTTTTCTTACTTTATTTTCTGCAGATTTTAAATAACGTATTATGTTCGTTAACAGTCTTTAAAAGTTAAACCTTTTTTCCTCTTTATAAAATGGAACAATCAATCGCGTACAAGAGAATATCAAAAGTTGATATTCTTTTTTCGCGTATTGACACCTCACTTGCAAACTTTTTTTGTATTTTGTTAGCTTTTTGCTTTGAGAAGCTAAAGAACTTTTTTGTCATAAGCAGTTTTGTCTCACAATAATTTCTAAAATAGCCTCTAGCCTCAGTACTTTCCGTAAGCCGTGAATGCCAATTGATATTTATCAAAGTAGCTTTAGGTATAGCTTAAAATTTCACCCAACTTCAAAAGGAGTTTAAATAAAGTTTTCTACCTTCGCATTCACAGCCATGACAGTTTCAAAAGGAGTTTTTAGGAATAGGACAAAAGATTTTTTCCGGATAGAAAATTTAACCCACTAATCGTTTGAGTTTTTCTGCTATCTGTCAGCATTTGAATCATCGTTCATTCATTCTCATAAAATGTTGTGACCACTTTGCAACGCTATCTGTCGGCTTGAATCAGAGTGTAGAGGTTGCTAAATTTTCACTCTGTTTTCAGGTGTCCAGAATGATTCCATCCAAGGACGTGGAGAAAAGGAAAACAAAGAAGGAGAACTCGGTGAGCTCGTTCTTTTATTTAGCGACATACAGTTTCGTTTTGCTAAATTGTGATCTTGTTTCCAGGTTCCCTCTCTGGACCCGAAAAGAGTTTTAATGACAAGCAAGAAATGGACCGTAAGCTCATTTCTTTTCAGTTCTTAACATTTTATTATCATTATTATTATTACCATTAATTTTATTAATAAATTTTTCTTTAGAAAGAAATGTGGAAAAATAATTTCAGCTATATTTAGTTTGCATTTTTTCATCTCTTGAGATAAAATGAATATTTTATGAAACAATTAAGGATCTCAGTAGCTTATATGTTAAACTCGGTAGGAGCCAAAAGTTTTTAAGATACGTGAATTGTTAAAGTACTTCGTCTGATTTTAATTCTGCACGTACAACTAGTTTTTGAATGACTTACTGCTCTAAATGGAGAACAAATTAAACACTTTATCTGCACATAATTTACCACGGAGGGGGTTCGAGTTATCCAAAAAAAGTCCGTTTTGACGGTAGACAGTTAAATTTGCAAACCATTTGGCGGTTGATTGTTCAAAATCACAAGTCATTTAAGGGGTGATAATTCAGTTAAAGGATAAATTTTTTTTGGAACATCTGATTAAACCAATCCTAAGAATTGAACTTAAGTTCAGAGAGTTTATAGTTCCAAACATTTCCCCTTCCCAAACCTAGGCGTGGCATGAACAAATATTGCATATATAAACATTCTAATCACCATTCTAAAGAAGATTAATTTCATTTCTTTTTCACCTCTGGGAAGGATCATTGCTTTATTTGACAAAAGTGAGATTCCAACATTCGATTTAAGGCTATGATTTCTTTTATCATTTCTCTGCAGAGGGAGAACATGAACAGAGCAAGCGATCGCGAGTGGACCCTGGTACAGTGATAGCAGCAACCCAGCTGACCTTGGGCACTCTTACAAAACTGCTTGACACGATAGCGTCGGTCGGCCGCAAGATTGCCATCGGTTTTGATAATGAAACACCTTACAAATGGCAGGCTCTGAATACATACTTTTACTCTGGTACATCTGATACAGTTTTACCCAAGTTCGTGTAGAGATAAGAGGCGGGTCTTTATACTGCAAGGAAGACGAAAGGCCCTGTAGCTAGAGGAAGCGTAGGTGTGTTTACCTACTACGTGCCAAGTGTCGGCAAGACCATTGCAGTCATGTTCAGCGTACCATTCGACTATCATTGGTATAGCAACTGGTGGGATGTCAAGGTCTACCCTGGTAAGAAGAGAGCTGATTATAATATGTGGTATGACATGTACTACGGAAATCCCTTTAAAGGAGATGATGGATGGCATGACAAAGCGTTAGGTGGAGGATTCCGCGTAGAAGGAATAATGACAAGCGCAGGAGAGAGTAAAATGAAACTAGATATCTATAAGTGAATCCCTACGTGCTTTTGTCTTTGGAACATTGACATAGTGTAATAACTGCGTGAAAGTCCAACAATTTTTTTTTTGTCGTGTGCATAACAATGTTTTAGATAAACGTTTACGTAGCTATTAGGCTTTACATGATAACGTTTTGATTCATTACTTTCATTATAAGTGGAGTAAAATTCAGGAAGGGAATAATTTCAATCGTGTCAATCAGAAAGTGCAAGAAAATCGCCAGTGGAACACATTTTCAATAATTTCAATCTTCCATCATCCGCGTAGAGCTCGCAATTGATAACTTTAACAACTGTTTTTTTCCTAATTGTCCAGAAGAGTAGCGTTAAGTTGGTCGTTCGTATTATGATAGAAACTTTCAATAGTCTCATTACGATTTCAATCATCCTTGTTTTACATTGGAAACTTTGGATTACAATTTGTTTATTTTGAGAGGATAGCATTCACTAGGTAGATGAATCTCATTGGTTTATTATATCTGCTGCGTGAATTTCATTGGTTGTGAAACTGTCTGATAACAAACTTTTTCTGATCAGTCCTTCAACAGCCAATCAACTTAATAGATAAATGATGTTAAGAACCAGTCAGATTCTAACACTTTGATATTGGCACGATTGAGGGATAAAGCTTCGCGTTAAGAGTGTTCTGGTTTCAGAAAAGATTCTTTAAGGTGTGATAGTCTTTTGATATGATAAGTCAGTTATAAGCTTTGGTAATAGTATTGTTAGATGCTCACTTTGTAAGGGCGTGTGTTTCACAATACGTTCCTTTTTTTTTCTTCTTTTTGACAACTATGTAGTGCTCGAATGTTGTAGACATTTTGTCATTAAAAAACCACTTTATTTTTTATACAAATTGCCGCTTTATTTATAAACTGTCTTCATTTTTTATCACCTGTTTCTCCATTCACCGTAAAGAATCCCCTAACATCTGAATCTCACTTTTGGTTTTGCACTTTGATACTGCTACAAAGCCACAGAGAACTCAGTGGTGCCCTTAGCTCACCTCTCTAGGTTAACTCGACCTAAGCTTGTTGCATATTGCTGAGATTAATAATGTCTGAACATCTTGTGAAATATTGAGCTCGGTCGTGAAATAAGAAAGTTGTTTACCAGTCACAAGGGTAGAACATGGCCTCACTTACTGTCGAGCTTTGGCTCAGGGGGAGAGCATTTGAACCCTAAGCAATAGCTTATACTTCACTTCAGGCGGCGTCCAATTTAACTTGATGTACGACGTCTAAATTCAGAAATTTTTCAAGTTTTAGTCATTTCAAGCTGTAGTAACTAGAATTTGCATGTGTTTATCATCAAGAACTGCGAAGTTATTTTGTGTTGTTTTTCTTTCTATTCATCAAGTTGGCGTTTTTGTGTGAGGTTACTTAAGGTTTAAGTAACGCCGGTAGCCAGTATAAGCGTTGTTTTTAGTAGATTTTTCATTCACTAGTTGATCTCATCTAGGGCAGTCGTTTCGTTGGTTTTTGCAAGCGCCGTGTACTTTTGTTTGAGAGTTTTTGCTACCGGTCTTGGTTACGCCACAAATTGTAAGTTCATTTCTGTTTCATGTAGCTTTGTTGTTACCATTGTCGTTATTCTTGACGCTATCATGTTTGTACTAAGATATTTGTATTCATTATTTGTTTCAGTCGAGTCACGTTTATACGTTTACTCATCTTTCATCTTTACGTTTGTTTATCTGGGAGTTATTAAGACGTGCTTTCAAGTTTGGCGTAAACTTAGCAACACAAGCCTCATTTTGAAGACGTCTTTGATGGACTCCTGGCATCAGTCACTCTCACTCACTTTTCCCAAGTCCGCTTAACCCTTTACCTCCCATGAGCGATCAAGAGAGAATTTCTTCTTATAATATCAGTACAATATCAAGAAGAGAAGTGATGAGAATAAAGTAAAATATCAATTCGGGGCTTATTAGTTGATCCAATACCAAACTCTCCAAATTGACATCTTAAGAATTGTGTGTCAGACAGTAAAGAGAATAACAAATGAGATCTTAGGAGTTAAAGGGTTAAACATAAGTATACCATACAGACTGATCAAAAAGATGGGAAACCAAACCTGGAAAAGAATTATTTTACACATTAAAGGTGTAAAGGAAGGTGTTAAGGTGGGGGCATATTGTCTTGCTTCAGGGGGCAAACTCGTAAAGGTGATAGGGAAAATGGGAAGGAACCTTTTATAAACCCTTTATTGCGCCATTCCTGTGGCAATTTAAATGTCATGTGATATTCGAGAACACAACTGTGTGCCTTAAAATGTCTGGGGAAGGTGAAATTTTGCAGAAAAACCTCGTTTTTCTTGCATTGTTCGGGAAAGTTCGACAAGTTTGGAATGCTGTTCCCACCATTTCACACTGAATCATCTCTTTTAATCGTCCGCAGAAATTTAGCGAAATATGTGATTATAACCCAAATAAACGAATGCCTTGTCACGTGATTGCGCATGAACATAATAATAAGAGTGAACAAATCTGTGGTAATCGTTAAGTGCGCCCGTCTGATAGCTTTGAGTCAGAACGTTGTTCCACCACCTCTGAAGGTGAGTATTAACCAATATGCTAGTTGAGGCTCAAATGTAAACAATTAGAAAAATGCATCATCATCATGTACTAGAAACTCAGTTTTGGTGCTTTGAGTCCGGCATAAACCTAGCTTTAAATGTGTGATCTGTAAGGCCGTTCAGGATCGCTTAGCACTTCGTTATCGATACGTAGTAGTCTGGATTGGCTAAGTTCCCTTGATTCATCAAATTTACCAAAATTTAAGGACTACCGGTCTTTTATTTGCTAACACAAGCAAACATTTCTAGCCCCTAATCCTTTCCTAGGGAGAAGGGGGGAGAAGGGTCCATATCCGATTTTCTGGAGTGCAAAAGCCTTCCAGTGATTTGAAAACCTTGACCGGATGCCGGTCATTTAGCAGCACCGTAAAATCTAGCTTCGAGGCATTTACTTTTTAAATTGAAGAGGCTTGTTAGCGCATATGTTTTACAATCTACATAATATATTTGAGATGGATCTATTTCAAATGCTAGTGGTGTCAGCTTTTTAACTCCGTTTGTTAAAAGGCGAACAAGATTCCACGCATATTTTTGAGCTTGAAGAATGGGCTACTGTATGGAAATATAAAGTCAACTTGGCATGGCTATCTCGTTTTCTTTAGTAAGCTACTCCCTCACGAACGTAAAAAAGGAAGGAGCTTGAAAACATATTTTCATTCCGACATTTCTTGATTTTCTCAAAGAATGATTTTCAGACAACTTCAAATGTTTTAATTTAGTGAGATCCTAAATGAGGTCATGCATGCATCCATTTGCTGCCTTAATAACTTGTGTGGCGTCGCATTGCAAATTCCTACGTTAAGCGACTCGAACTTGTTGTTAAAGAGCTTATTTTTGTGTGAAATATAGATGCTGAAGAAATGAAACATTTTGCCGAGAGATGTCCATCATTCAGAGCACATTAGAGCGCGCTACTTTGCAATGCAGTAAACTAGCCACATGCCGGCAGGATCACTACGGTTATCTTTTGTTGCTAGCTTGAAAATTTAATTTGTATCCGTAATGAGAACTTGTGAAATAATTATTTCAAAAAAGGAATAACTAAGGGAAAAAATGCAATACAATTATGATTACAGTGAAGACGTTACGAGATACAACATTTTGGCTTTCAAACTTCAATTTATTTCATTCAGCCGCACAAAATTTTTTTAAAGGACATCTTAAGTCAAGTGCAGCAACAAAATGGAGAATAAAATATCGATATCATAGGGCTTGAATATGCGTTTGCATTTTGTTGAGCTCTAGATGGGCAATCGAGGTGTTACGCTTTTAAATTAGAGGTGAAATCGAGGGCTTGTCTTTCTAAACAAGTCATGCATAGCGCTAGACAGAGAAAGTCATATTTTCTTTCTCACTTGAAACTGCTCGTATTTACCGATAAAACTTCTTGTCGAGGATAAGATAACTCTCTTGGATTGGTGCCTTTAGAACACTTTATTGTGGCCGACTGCTGAAGAAGACAGAACTGAACTCAGCCACAGTGTCGTTGCCATCTTAAAATTTTAAATGGCCTAATTTCTTTGTAGGATTAGTGACCTAGAACGAGTAGAACACGATGGATCCAGTGATACCAGCCGATCAGTTAGGACCAAAAGTTCTGGAAGAAGTTTTCAAATCAATGTCACCCACAAATCGGGGAATTGCCATTGGCATCGCTAATGAAACATCCCATCAGTGGAATGCAATGAATGCATACTTCTATTCCGGTTCCCCCGGCCCAAATGTCCTACCCGAATTCGTGAAGAGCCAGGAAGCAATTCTGTATACGGCCACGAAACCAACTGGTCTACCAAGAGGAAGTGTGGGGGTGATTACCTTCTTTATCCCAGATGACAACATGACCGTAGCAGTCATGTTCAGTGTACCATTCGACCGCAATTTGTTTGAAAACTGGTGGGATGCCAAGGTTTATCGCAATAAGACAGAAGCTGACTATAATGTGTGGTCTTTCATGTATTACAATCACAATCCCTTCCGAGGTGATGACGGCTGGCATGAGAAACAAATAAGTGAAGGTTACCGCGTGAAGGGCATCATGACAAGCACGGGCCAATGTAAGCTGCAGTTAAAGATCTGGAAGCCGGAATCTCTACAAACTGAAATAACTGCGTGAAAGTCTGTTAGTTCTTTGTTCTATTTTTTATTTGACAGTTTTTGTTTTGTTGCAAAGTTGGCGCTGCAGTATTTTCGGATAGAATAAAAATTTTGTAAGTTACAAAGCTGTACACTAAAGACGTTTGAATTCAAAGTCGGAATTTCTTTGGGTTCAAACTATCGCGATGAGTTTCTTAATTGTGACTGTCTTGTCTGACCTCCATTAGTAAACGTGCTCAATTTGTCGATTCTTTTTGCCTTGTACCCACACTAAAATTTTTGTCTTGGCCCACGCAGTCAAAGATTAATTCGATTGATCGGATGTATTAACTAAGTTGTTATTCATTTTTGAGGTTCTGTTAGAGGTTTTTGGGTTCTGCCGACGATTGTTCTATCTTCCCAAGTCAGATGATTAGCATGTCCATGCATGCCTAAAAATAGTGAATAAAAAAACGTGTTCTTTACAGAGACTTGTAGTGGGAGAATCAAAGAGAGAGTGATCGATCACAATTTGAGTCAGTCGACCAAGTTACCCAGAGTGAAGTAACTTTTATGAAATTAAGATTTTATATGAGAATCAACAGAGAAGGGACAGGTCGAAATTAGTTCGCGAGCTGGGCCCGACAACTCGGTGGTAAAAATGCAAAAAGAAGGAATGCATAGGTTGGTCATTGCTTAAGAATATTTTCTGGCTCCTAAGGAGCCATTATTGTTCAGTTATTTCATTACAACAAGTTCCAAAGATTTTCTGTGAACATAACCGTAAAATAGTGTCAAAATAGTAAGATAATGACTTGAGTAATTAATCGCCCCCCCTAATCGGCATTAGTCATGCGTCAGTAAACACGTCTAGGAATTAGCATACTGATCGGGACTTTGTCATGGTTTCGCTGTGAAAATCCAATTTGATCAAAATATATCATATTTTTTGACAGAATGAATCATGGTACCGTAAGCAAACAAGTTGAAGATTTCGGGGCGAACTGATTTAGGTAGTGACGAACTTCTCTCATTTCAAGGGGAAATGTCGCAAAAGGCTGTAGGGGAAAATGGAAAAAACATTATACAAACCCTTTATCACAGCATTCCTGCGAAAAAGTTGAAGGTCATGTGGCATTCGAAAACACAACTGTGTGCCCGGCTTAAAATGTCTGGGGAAGGTTAAATTTTGCAAAACATTTCGTTTTTCTAGCATTGTTTAGGAAAGTTTAAGAAGTTTGAGATACTGTTCCTTCCTATTCACAACGAATCATCTTATTGACTCGTCGCAGAAATTTAGCGAAAAATGTTCCTATAACCCAAATAATCGAATGCCTTATCACGTGATTACGCATGAACTTTATCATATCGGTAAACAAATCCGTGGTATTCGTCAAGTGCGCCCGTCTGACAGCTTTGAGTCAGAACATTGCTCCACCGCCTTTCAAGGTGAGTATTTACCAATATGATCGTCGAGGCTCAAATGCAAACAATAGGAAAGATTCATTATCAACATGTACTAGAAACTAAGTTTTCGTGCCTTAAGCCCGGCGTAAACCAAGTATTAGATATGTGATCTGTAAGGCCGTTCAGGATCGCTTAGCACTCCGTTATCAATATGTGGCAATTTGGACTGGCTGAGTTTCTTTGATTCATCAAATTTACCAAAATTGAAAGACTACTGGTCTTTTAGTGGTTCACACTAGCAAACATCTGTAGTCCCTACTCCTTTCTTAGGGAGGGGAGGGTCCGTATCCGATTTTCTGGAGAACAAAAGCCTTTGAGTGTTCTGAAAATCTTGACCGAGTGCCGGTCATTTGGCAAAAGCGTAAAATCTAGCTTCGAAGCATTTACTTTTTAAAATGAGGAGGCTTGCTAGCGTTTAATGTTTTACGCTTTACAGTATATACTTGAGATTGATGTATTTCAAATGCTAGTGGTGTAAGCTTTTTTAACTCAGGTTGTCAAAAAGCGAACAAGCTTGAGCTTGAAGAATGGGTCATTGTCTGGAGAATCCAAAGGCACCTCGGGTACCTCATTCCCTCGAATACGCTACCCCCTCATGCACGTAAAAAAAAGGGAAGGGAATCGAAAACTGATCCTCAATTTCAACATTTTTCGTTTTTCCCAAAGAATGGTTCTTTAATTTCTTTTAACGTACCAAGAACCTAATTAGATTCCAAGCATTCCTTTAGGTACTAAGAGCTCGATAACTTGTGCGGCGTCGCATTTCAAATTCTTAAAGAAAAGCTAAGCGACTTGTACTTATTGTGAAAGTGCTTATTTTGCTATTAGATATAGATTCTGCTAAATCGAAACATTGTACAGATTTCCATTGTTGTAAACATACCATGCAGCTATGCCGGCAGGATTACATAATTAATCTTTTGTTGCTCACTTAAAAAAATCCCATTTGGTTACGTAATGAGAACTTTTAAAATATCATGTTAAAAAAGGAATAAATAATGAAGAATTGAGGTAGATTCATTTTTACGGCGAAGGCATTTCGTGACATTATATTTTGGCTTCCACATTTAAATTTCGGTTAATTTCTTCAGCCGCGTAAGGTTCTTCACGAGCGCATCGTGAATCAAGTTAAGCAGCAAAGTTTAGAGTCAAATATCGAAATCGTCTCCCTTCAATATGCATCTACACTTTGATGAGTCTCTAAAGAGGCCATCGATGTGTGACGCTTCTACATAAGAATATAAACCGTTTCTTTCTAGGCAAGTCATGCATGACACTCGACGGAGGAAGACAAAATTTTTTTTAAAAGCTGGCTGTTCCTTCGGAAAAAATAATTCATTCATTCGTAATTGTTGCCATTAACCCGATAAAACTTCTTCTCGAGGGTAGGAGAGGAAACCCTCTTAGATTCATGCCTTTAAAACACTATAATGTGGCCGAACACTGATGTAAAACCAAAGAACCAAAGAATACAGAACTGAATGTAATCAATAGTGCTGTTGCTATCTAACAATTTTAAATGCGGTCAGTGTAAAACGCAGACTGCAGACCAGGGGTAAAATGCAGACTGAGGGTAAAAATGCAGACTAAAGACTGCAGACCAGGGGTAAAATGCAGACTCGGTTCTAAAATAAACTTCTTCCCCGAAAAAACTTCAGGAGTGAGCTGAATCGAGGCCGCGTGAGTCATGAGAGGCTGGCAATAATCGTCATGGTGATGTTTCGAACTTTATTTCCTCAGATGGTTTTGGCGTTGACATATTGTTTTAAGGTAAGAACGAGAAGCGTAAATGTTTGAATGTGCAGTTCACGGCCAGTTAAATACATTTCCCTTGTTAAGGAATAAAAAGTTCTGCTGAGCAACATTAGGTAGCTTTAACATACATGTAGCTCATATACTTTGTTCGGCCTTGAAAGTAATAGCGATAGACTTTCATCACACACCGGTAATTTCGATTACTTGGACAATAAAAACCTGTTTCTCGTACCTTTGTTTTGCGTTGTGAAGTTAGGCGTGTAAATTAATTAAATTAAATGCAAATTTGTGAGTGCGAGATAAGGGTCTGATTAAAAACCTCCAAACAATATCCCTAGGTGTTTGCCTTTCTTATTCTGCTCGGTGTTTCACCTCAGTATTAACCCGAGGTGACTCTGCGGCTATCATGGTCAACCTAACCTATGTTGGGCTTAGATTTAGTTTTTCTGTGACGTGTTTTTATTCACTGGAAAAATGGAAGCGTCTTCCTTAAATTGAAACAAATTAAGAGCAAATGAAAGTCTTAAGTTCCTTTTATGTTTAATCATTAAGAGAAACCAGAAATGTTCATAAATTTCATCTACAGAACTGAGTCTGCATTCTACCCCTAGTCTGCAGTCTTCAGTCCGCATTTTACCCTCAGTCTGCAATCTACCCCTGGTCTACAGTCTCTAGTCCGCATTTTACCCTCAGTCTGCATTCTACCCCTGGTCTACAGTCTCTAGTCCGCATTTTACCCTCAGTCTGCATTCTACCCCTGGTCTACAGTCTCTAGTCCGCATTTTACCCTCAGTCTGCATTCTACCCCTGGTCTACAGTCTGTAGTCCGCATTTTACCCTCAGTCTGCATTCTACCCCTGGTCTACAGTCTTTAGTCCGCATTTTACCCTCAGTCTGCATTCTACCCCTGGTCTACAGTCTGTAGTCCGCATTTTACCCTCAGTCTGCATTCTACCCCTGGTCTACAGTCTCTAGTCCGCATTTTACCCTCAGTCTGCATTCTATCCCTGGTCTACAGTCTTTAGTCTGCATTTTACCCTCAGTCTGCATTCTACCCCTGGTCTGCAGTCTTAAGTCGGCATTTTACCCTCAGTCTGCATTTCACCCCTGGTCTACAGTCTTTAGTCCGCATTTTACCCTCAGTCTGCATTCTACCCCTGGTCTGCAGTCTGTAGTCCGCATTTTACCCTCAGTCTGCATTCTACCCCTGGTCTACAGTCTCTAGTCCGCATTTTACCCTCAGTCTGCATTCTACCCCTGGTCTACAGTCTTTAGTCCGCATTTTACCCTCAGTCTGCATTCTACCCTGGTCTACAGTCTTTAGTCCGCATTTTACCTCAGTCTGCATTCTACCCCTGGTCTACAGTCTTTAGTCCGCATTTTACCGTCAGTCTGCATTCTACCCCTGGTCTACAGTCTTTAGTCCGCATTTTACCCTCAGTCTGCATTCTACCCCTGGTCTACAGTCTCTAGTCCGCATTTTACCCTCAGTCTGCATTTCACCCCTGGTCTGCAGTCTTTAGTCCGCATTTTACCCTCAGTCTGCATTTTACCCTTAGTCTGCAGTCTTCAGTCCGCATTTTACCCTCAGTCTGCATTTCACCCCTGGTCTGCAGTCTTTAGTCCGCATTTTACCCTCAGTCTGCATTTTACCCTTAGTCTGCAGTCTTCAGTCTGCATTTTACCCTCAGTCTGCATTCTACCCCTGGTCTACAGTCTCTAGTCCGCATTTTACCCTCAGTCTGCATTCTACCCCTGGTCTACAGTCTTTAGTCCGCATTTTACCCTCAGTCTGCATTCTATCCCTGGTCTACAGTCTTTAGTCCGCATTTTACCCTCAGTCTGCATTCTACCCCTGGTCTGCAGTCTTAAGTCCGCATTTTACCCTCAGTCTGCATTCTACCCCTGGTCTACAGTCTCTAGTCCGCATTTTACCCTCAGTCTGCATTCTACCCCTGGTCTGCAGTCTTTAGTCCGCATTTTACCCTCAGTCTGCATTCTACCCCTGGTCTACAGTCTCTAGTCCGCATTTTACCCTCAGTCTGCATTCTACCCCTGGTCTACAGTCTTTAGTCCGCATTTTACCCTCAGTCTGCATTCTACCCCTGGTCTACAGTCTTTAGTCCGCATTTTACCCTCAGTCTGCATTCTACCCCTGGTCTACAGTCTTTAGTCCGCATTTTACCCTCAGTCTGCATTCTACCCCTGGTCTACAGTCTTTAGTCCGCATTTTACCCTCAGTCTGCATTCTACCCCTGGTCTACAGTCTCTAGTCCGCATTTTACCCTCGGTCTGCATTTCACCCCTGGTCTGCAGTCTTTAGTCCGCATTTTACCCTCAGTCTACATTTTACCCTTAGTCTGCAGTCTTCAGTCCGCATTTTACCCTCAGCCTGTATTTTACTCCCGGTCTGCAGTCTTCAGTCTGCGTTTTACACTGACTAGTTTTAAATGGCCCAATTTCTTTGAAGGAGCCTCTATGTAACTATATTTTGTTGATGTATACCTTCTTAGTCCTGCCTGTTGATATTAACAATAGTTTAAAAAGGGAAACCAAATGGAAAAAGAAGTATCAAGGGAATAACTTTTTAGATGTCGTTGTACGTTTTAATCTCACCCGACCGAATTTTTTTTTCATCACGTTTCGAACATTTTTACTTAAGCACATGGTAAATCAAGTGAAGCAACAAAGTAATTTTATCACTTGATTATGCGGGACGTTACGATTTGCTGAGTCTGTAAAGACTGCAATCGATCGTTTCTTTGGAAGAAATAACAAGTCATGCATAGCGCATGACGGAAAAAAGTTGTTTTTTCTTTAAAGCCGTTCCCATGTAAAAGAATCATTTTTAGTTGTTCGTATTTACATGGTAAAACTTCATTTTAGTCCATTTACATTATCAATAGTTCCAAAGGGGAATTAACCGATGTGAAAGGATATCTAAAGCGATTTACTTTACAGCTCTTGTTAAAATTCAGTCGTCTCACTAGGATTTTTAGAAACTGTATAAGATCCCAAAATAGGAAAAGGCTCAAGTCTTAGTTGTCCTGAATTTCAGACAATTCCGCCTCTTTACGACCGAATCGTTTCATTTTCGTATTGACTCAAATATGGTAAACGTTTTAAATATGCTTTGAAACCTGGGTTTTATGTTTTTGTCTCACAGTGACATAGAATAAGGAGAATACGATGGATAATGTGATAGAAGCCGATAAATTAGGTCCACAAGTTCTGGATGATCTTTTCAAGTCAATGCCATCCACAAAGCGAGGAATTGCCATTGGCATCGCTAATCAAACATCTCATAAGTGGAGTGGAATGAATGCATACTTCAATTCTGGTAAACCTGGGCCAAATGCTTTACCTGAATTCGTGGAAAAAGACGAAGCAGCACTGTTCACTGCAACCAAAACAACTGGCCTGGCAAGAGGAAGTGTAGGCGTGGTTACCTTCTTCATCCCCCATGACAACAAGACCGTAGCAGTCATGTTTAGTGTACCATTCGACCGTAATTTGTATAAGAACTGGTGGGATGCCAAGATTTATCCCAGTAGGAGAGAAGCTGACGATAGTATGTGGTCTGACATGTACTACAATGATAAACCTTTCAAAGGGGATGACGGCTGGCACGAGAAAACTATAGGTGAAGGTTACCGCGTGAAGGGCATCATGACAAGCGAAGGCCAATGTAAACTTCACGTAAAGATCTGTAAGTGAACCTTTACAAACTTTCTTGTAAAATTTTGAAATTACCGCCTGAAATTCGTATTAATTTTGCTGTTATTTACATGATAGCTTTTTTTCTTGTGAGATAAACAGTTCAATATTCAGTCGCAAAAATGGTGGCGAGGAAGTGCTTTAGATAGCATTGAAGGCTTCATAGGACAGCATTTTTTCTGATAGAATAAACATTTTTTCGGTCACAAAGCTGTACAAATGATTCATTTAAAGGCCTCGCATTAGAGTATTTAATGTTTCGCGTCAAAGTGGCTTGATGTTAGACCATGAGCTATTAGGCTTTTCAGTCCATTTTACGGTTAGAATCATGGTTTTATGCGTCCACCAGGTCTCATAGTTAGTGCAGAATGTCGAAGTCTATCGCCAAACTACCATGTATTGAATCGACTTAATCAACTTTATATTAAAAGAGCTTTGCCAAGGTATTCTATATTTTCTTCGGGGAGACAGGGGGGGGGAAGGATTGGGAGACTAGAGGGTGGGGTGGTACCTTAAGCTGTTGATTTCAGTGACGTCTTGCAAATCGAAACGTTTAAACAGAAGTCTGCTTATTCAAACCCGAGCATTTTCTTGGAGACATTCCTCTTTTTAAAAACTTGAATGATCGTGAAACTTAAAGAACACTCATAAATTCACATTATTAAATGGTTTCCAGATTAATCAAACTTTAATACATAGGCTGTAGAAGGTCTGGATTTTCCAGCTAAGATAACAGATGAGAAAAAAGGCGAAACTCAGCTTGGAACCAACTATTCTTCCTTCGTAAAGTCATCAGTGGCAGGCTTCACCTGAGAGAAAAAAATTCATTTAACAACAAAAATAAGTGTATTTCCATCTGATCGAGGGTTTCGAAACAAACCCACAGTTGTCACAACGACAGATCGGAAGAAAGGTCAGTAAAAACAACAAAAAGAACAAAGCAGAAGGAGCTAGGAAATAAGAACTCAAAGGAGCTAAGAAGTAAACTTTCTTATGTGCGAGAAAAAAAGGAATGACATATCCATCGATCATCGGTTTTTTAGTAAGGAAGAAAAGCAAAGACAATGCCGACACTTCAGTTACATTTAATCTGGCAGTGATGGCGCTCAAGTCCGATCAACTATTGATCATCGGAGATCTTCAAATAAGAGAAATATTCAAGTTTTACACCCTGACTCGATTTCAAACTTATTCGTCTATAAACACGCACATTATAGTCTGAATGGAAATGATATCACCTGTAGATCAAAACAATGTAGTCGGATTATTTAAACAAAGCTTAGCCGTTGTTTAACAAAACCGCGTCCTAAACAATCATTCGATCAATTTAGCTGAACCTTAAATCTGAACATTTATTTTTGTGAACAGTGTCAAGAGGGCGAAAGCTAATAGTGGAACGACATTTATTTGTTTAAATCAACCCTCTTACAGAGAATCTCTGAGGCCCACTAATTGCGTAAAACCCTGGTTTGGGTGAGAACCCGTTAAATAACCGTACGCATATATATATAGATATATTTTATTTAACTGTGATCCTGTTCTGAATGCCGCTTGTTGGCCTTCTTTGTCGTCCTATGGGGTATTCATGTGTTAGATGAGGAACGAAAAAAATAGTTATCTCTTAACCCTTTCACTCCTATGATCTCATTAGTAATTCTCCTTACTGTCTGCCATACAATTCTTATGACCTTAGTGAGGAGAATTTGGTATTGGATCAACTTATAATCGCCTATTGAACAAATCTTTTATATTCTCATCACTTGTCGGCCGTCTCGATATTGTAAGGAAAAACTATGTCTTGGTCACTCATGGGAGTTAAATGGCTGAGCCCAAACCTCAAGAACAGTTGTCAGCGGTACATTCCCCAGTGGATGAACAACCGCTGTTTACACACAGTGAACGGTCGCTACAGGGACAACCGGGTCCAAAACCACCGCAGTCTGGGCAGATATTAGCCGTAAAATAGATTAAATTGTTTTTAAAAAACTATAAACTATCAGACGACGAGAAGCTCTGTCGCTAAAAGCAATAAAAAACTTCACAATCTTTCAAATGCTTGTGAGAGAATGAAAAGTTACCCTTTTTAGATGGGAACATAATCTTTCATAGCTGTTTTTCCATAAATCATCTATGGCAGTGCAAACAGCGAAGCCTTTAACAACATCTACTGGAAAGTTTTATTTATGTTTGTCACAAGAGTACGCATCGATGTATCCAGTAGGTTCAGCCTCTTCAGTGTGCCTCCGCCAGACATCATAATTTTTGGAAACTAAAGGACGGTTTTCGAGTGTCTGCTTTGACGAGTTGGCTGTAACTATGCCGTTGTTTTGACATTGCCTTCAATTTGGAATAAAACGTGTTTGTTACCTTCCCTCTTTGGTAAGGCTTCAAGCATCTCTCTCACTTTAGCTAAAAGATCTAGAAGTAACATGTGAAAACAAACCAAATCAGTCGTGCCAATTACTGCTTTAGACTTAAACAATAACAGACGACAAAAAAAATTAGATTGAATTAATTGCTTGTTTCCTGAAATCTGATTGGTCTGTTGGCGTTTGTAACCATGTTCACAGTAAGCGCACTGTAACTCCCAGAAGTATTTGACACGTAATTTATTACAATATCATTAAATTTACTTATCAGCCTGAGGGGTAGATATTTTTGTTATCTTTTGACTCCCAACTCTAAAACTGATCTACTGGAAATCGTCGTATAGTTTAGAAAATTTTATTGCTATTAAGATTAAAATACATTGCTTTTTAAATCAGTTGTTTCTTGACTTTCAATAATCTTACATTGCGCGCGCGCCAACTTTCAATAATTCCATTCAGACCAACTAAACCCATCTTCAGCACAAGACATTTGAGATAGAAGAACCGAAATCTTTAATTATCAATCACCTGACAAGATAACTGAATGCTGGAACGCTCTCCTCCGTCCTTCGTCCTTCGTGCCTTCTCCTTGCTAGAGCGTAGTGGGTAGGGAATGTTTAGAAATGTCTTATTTTCAGCCAATAAATCGCAACGAAATAAATGAAATTGGGGATTTAGTTGAGTTGGGCCAGGGTGCTTCTCTAACTCACAAGACACACATGTTTAGGCAAAACCACAGATTCTTTAGTTTCTTTACTTACCCCCTTTATTGACTTTCTATGTTAGTTATTTGTCAGAACATCGTCAGTTTGTAACTACAATCTGAAGCAATGAAGCACTTTGTTAGACCCTGTAAAAAGATTTGACTTACTGAAAAGCCCACACGGGACTCAAAAACATGCTTGACTGCAATGCATTAGAATTTAAGAGTAACTTTGCAAATGAGGTTTCAGTACGCATTAAATTAATTGTTCCATTCAATTCAGAGATCTTAAAGGGTCAAAAAATTTTAATTATTCGAGAACATTACCCAACAAAATCAACGCTATTTATAATCAACTCAGGAAAAATTAACTTAAAGACAAGATAAGAATTCAGCCAAATGAAAGGTTAGGCATAAACAAATGAGCTTACCTATCTCCTGTTTAGTGTTTTCCATTTCTTCAATATCATCTTTGAATTCAACGTGGGCACCTAGAACAAATTAAAATTTTTGTTAAAAAAAAAGGAACAATCTCCGCCCTGTCTAACCCGAGACAACTGATTTAATTGTAAATTGGCCAATTTAATATTACATAATTTTCCTCTAAAAGGAAATGTGGAAATATAAATCTCTTCGGCCTTGATTAACCAATCATAAGAGTAAAGTTTAAAATCAAACGAGATTTAAGCACTAAACTTTTCCCCCTCTTCAACTTATAAATAAGAATAAATGAACCACAATGATGTTATTGAAGTATTAAATTCCTGTGCTGAAAGTGTTAAAGGTAATAATGATGTTGAACTCTGGAGGCAGGGGAAATATTTTCAGCAGCAGCGTTATTCTCGTGCGTATAGAGTGGTTCTCTAAGGTGAATATATTTGAGCAAATTGCTCTGTTTCTTTTTCTCGTTTTTCTGTTCGTTGAACATAATTTAGTAAAGATTAATACTTTCTTTGTTTAAAAGTTGATATAAAATAATATTATTAGTAGTAACCACCGAATGAAAAGCAATTGAGTGTGAGTACTAGTTCGGCCAGACGGAGTAGTGTTTCAGAGCTAGGTTCCTTAACAGTGCGACGAGAAAAATGTCTGAGGGCCCGGAGACCTTCGTCATTGGGAATGACAGTATACAGAGATGTTATATCCATAGTAAAAATAAGTTTGTTTTGGCCGAGGAAACTAAAGTCAGGGAAAATTTCAAGTGCGTGTTGGCTGTCCTTAATGTAAGACGGTAAAAAGTAAATAAACGAAGTTCTAGGAGTGGTAATTATGAGATTTTTAGCAGTGGCCGGCAATTCTTGTTTAGCTATAAGTGAGATCTTTGTCGACTTTAGCATAAAAAGGAGGTAGAGGTCAGCCCGCCAAACAACAACTGCGCCGCCTTTGTCGGCCGCTTTAATGACTATGTCTTTGCGTTTTTTAAGACTTTTTAGTGCCGACCATTCTTCCGAAGAAAGATTGGAAAATTTGGTGTGACGATTGAATTTAAGTTTGTTGATGTCGTGGCGACATTTTTTGGTGAACAAATCTAAAGATGCGAACTGGCCCTCTGGGGGAGTCCATTTAGACTTTCGAATCTGAAGTGTTTCGAAAGTATCTTTGTTCTAGATGTTAGAATCATCCTCTTTGTTGTTGAAAAATTCCTTCGCCGCGTTCAATTGAAAGCCTTTTTCATGAGAACAAACTGAAAAAACGGCTGGCTCACACTCTTGTATCATTGGGCTCAGTTTGCGCAGTAGAATGAAGATGTACAAAAAGTAGATGTTCTCGAACTGTGCGCTCTGTTTTATTTGTTGTGGATCATTCAAGATGTTATTGAGATGATCCATGCTAACAAGTGTGTGATATTTTTATATCAACCAGCGTTTAAAAATTGGAAAGAATTTAAGGGGAATTGGCGAAGCAAGACAGAGAGAAGGAAGACATCTTTATGTCGCTCTTCATGGGACAAGTAATTCCTAAAATATGGTGTGAATAAATACCAATCAATACTAATCAATTTGTTAAGTTTTTTGTATCAGTAACAATGACTCGAATCGGATTTGCTCGTAGCGGTACTCAAAAGGTACAATCGGACGAGATAAATCGCCGGAACAATTAAAAAACCGGTGAAAAAGTAAGTTGCTTTCCACCATCTTGGCAGCAAAAAGTATCTTGAACCCGAGCTGATA